TTTTTTTTTTTTTTTTTTTTTTTTTTTTCTTATAATTAAGATTATATTTGAAAATACATAAATTTTTTTATTTTTTAATATTATGGGTAATGGATGTAACAAAATAAGTAGAACTAGAAATGGAAAATTTTTATTTGAAAAAAGTGATGAGTTTTTTAATTTAATGAAAGATAATGATTCAAGTAGAAGTGATATAAATGATTGTAATGATATATTTACTAATAAAATTATTAATAAAAGAATAATTAAAAAAAATAAAGGTTCAGTATATAATGAAAATTGTTATTTTGAAAGTAGTTCATTTGGTTGTTCTGATGATATGCACTACATATTAGAAAATGAAAAAAGAATGGTTTTAAAAAAAGTAGATAATTCTAAAGTAGAAAATTACCTTATAATAAAAAGGTATACAATATTAAAAAAATATATAAAAATCTATAAAAATAAGAAAAAAAAAAGTTTAAATATTGACATTTTTTCTTCTTTATCAAATAAAGATGATGATAATATACAATTGGCATTACTTAACAGAAAAAAAAATACTCAATCGTATAAAAAGAATTCGGAGGAAGAGACTCGGTGCAGTTTGTCAGATATATTTTTAGAAAATGATGAAAATAAAATGTTCAAAGATAAAAATTACAAATTATAAGGAAATAAAGAAAATGATGGAATATTGCAATTTTAAATTAAAAAAAAAAAAAAGAAAATTAGTTCATTTAATTTTAAAAAAATATATTTCAATCAAATTTTTAAAACAAATAAAAATTCTAATGAAAGATAAAAATATAAAAGGGGATAAATGAAACTTAAAATATCTTGAGATGAAGTAAAATTAAAAAAAAAAAAAAAAAATTTTATATTAGGATAAAAACGTCAAAATTAAACGAAAAAAAATGCATATAAAATTTTATATAGACACACGTGAAATATAATGTAGAAAATAGGAACATAAATAAATATATTTATTTGTATATTAAATGTAATTTCACATAGGACACTTAAAAAATTTTCATTTATATATTGCTATAATATTTTTAATGCAAAAATAATACACATTTATTCTCTTTTTTTTTTTTTTTTTTTTTTTTGTTTTTAATCTTAATTGGTTTTAATGTTTATTTATATATATATTTTTTTTTATAATATTACATCTGTTAAGCACTTAAAAATTCATTTTGTCATATATTACTCAAATCAAAAGAAGTGTATTACTTAATAAAATAATAAATTGTATTTTAAAAGAAAAGTTAAAAAAACATAACAAAAAAACATGAAAAGTTATATTTTAAAAAAAAAAAAAAAGATTATAAAACAATTTAATAACTAATTTTGTTAATTAAATAATTAAAATAAATTAAAATAAATTAAAATGAAATTAAAAGGCTATAAATTAATTCAATTATTATGTAATATATATATATATATTTTTAATGGAATTTATAATATATAAATGTCATATTAATTAATAGTATAATTAAGAATTTTTAATTAAAAAAACTAATAACACAACATTATATTTCTCCTTTTAAAAAAAGTATTTGTTCCCTTATATAAAAATAAACATATTCCTTTACTTGTTTTATATATTATTAGAAATAATTAGTTTGTAAATTCTATAGCTTATTTATATAATATATATTCTTTTATGAATACTATTATTCTTTTTTTTTTTTTTTTTTTTTTTTTCATTTAATTTTACATCATATTATTTTATCCATTTGAGAGATTTTAATATATTAACCTTTTTTAATAAAAAAGGTAAATAAAATTTATGTTAAAATGAATTATTTATATATACATATATAGCTCTATTCTATCTGTCTAAAAATAATATATTTTGTCTATTTTTTATTTGCACACCAAGATAAGAAAATAACCCAAAAAAAATCAGCAAAAAAAACAACAGTAGCTTGATATATTCTAGGTACAAAAATAAAATTAACTAAAGTTAAAGGTGTCCAAGTCATTAATGAAACTAAAAATACTTTTATCCCTGTATTTACAATTTTATCAACTATTTCCGATTTTTTCTGATTTTTTAATATACCATTATAAAAAAAAAATACTGCTAAATGAATAGGCCCAAAAATAAAATTGTCAAATAATGTAGGAAAAAGTGATTTATATATAAATGTATTTGGTTTAGATTTTATAAAATTTGATAAAATTTTTCCATACCACCATGTCATTATAGGTCCTTCTAATGAAAGACCAATGAAAGACATCCTAAGAGTTCTTAAAAAATCATAATCTTTATTTTTGTTATGAACCTCCATAATTTGACATGCTATATCAGCAATCATATACAATGTACCTGCTATTAAGCAGTTCATTAATAATAAATGTTTTTCAAATAAATTATTTAATAGTAATGCTATTTTACTAATATAAAAAGAATATTTTTTCTTTTCTATAACTACATTTTTTTCATTTTTTATATCAATAATTACATCATTCACATCTTTAATTTGCATGTGTGTTTTAATGATTTTTTTTTCTTCATTATTTAATATACTGTTTGTATTATTATCTATATTTGTATCTTTTATATTTTTTTCTTCTTTTATTTGATTTGATATATTTTGAATATTTTCAATATTTTCTTTTTCTTTTATATTTCCTGTTTTACATTGAATATGTTTTTGATTATTCATTGTGTAAAAATTTTTATATATTTTCGTTTTGTAAAATATGTTATTTATTTTTATATTAATAATATTATTTAAGTTTTCAATATGAGCTAAACTATTTGGATTTGCAGTTTGATTATTAAATAAATTACTTTTTTTTTCCTTTAGTTTTTTTCTTTTGTTTAATTCGTCAACTTTTGAATAATTATCTATTGTATAATCTGGTTTTCTATGTAAATAATGAAATTTATTTTCATCAATTTCAGATATTTTCAATTCTTTTAAATTCATATATGTATTAAATAAATATAATTTCTTTATTTTAACATTTTCATTATTTAAAAATTTTGAATGTATATATCTCTCTGTGAAATACCATCTTTTTATATTATTTTCTATATAAAAAAAAAAAAAAAAAAAAAAGTTGTATTTTACATAACCAAAAAAATATTATTAGTTCAATATATATATATATATAAATATATATATATATATATATAAATTTACTGATATAAGAACATGTTAAGTTTTTAAAATGTATTACTTAAGTAAATTATACAAATATTCTTTCATAAGATTGTTCATTAATAAAATATATAAACCTATCTATATTTTAAAATTTTATATACTATTATTTTTTTTTAAGAATTCATTTACCTAAAAATGATAGATTAACATTTTTTGAAGCAAAATTTAGATGTTTCCTTTTTATGTCCATATAATATGTTCCAAATTTCATCATTAAATTTTCAACTCTTCTTTAAAAATGTGAAATAATGAAGAATGTTCATATATATAATGTACTTAATTATTTCTCTTATTTTTTGTAATATATCCTATAATTTTTCTTTTTTTTTTTTTTTGCTACTAAGTATTTATTTCATTCAATTTTTTTTTGATAATTTAATTTATCTTTATATTAATTGAATTCTATAATAAAAATAAAAAAGGATTAAAAAAATATATATTTTTTTCTTATCATTTATAAATATACAGGAAAATAATTTAAAAGAATCAAAAAAAGAATCACTTTTTTTTATTTTAGCAACCATGCTTTTTTATAAAATTATTTTTATAAAAAATTTTAAATTATGATTCAAATAAAATAATAATTAAACAAATAATGTTTTCACAAAATTTTTTAAACAAATAAACATCAATGTAATAAAGAAAAAGATAATATAAAATTTAATGTTTCGTAAAAATTTATTCATTTTTGTTAAAATTCATTATACATTTTTGAAATATGTTCATAAATGTCAGTGCATTTAAAAAAATAATACAAAATATATTTTTCTTTTTTTTTTTTTTTTTTTAATTAGTACATTTTTATTTTTTTGAAGAATGTATTTTTTTAATTTAAAAATTTTTGGTATTTTGATAAAAAAAAAAAAAAAATTATTCTATATAAAAATTGTATTTCTTTTGAATATAGAATGTTTTTTTATTTAAGATAAAAAAATTATAAAACATTTTACTTTTATGTAATTTTTATTTTTAATTTTTTTTTTTTTTTTTTTTTTTTATAATTTAAGTTATAAGAATAGTTATACATTTTTAAGAAGATACTTTTTAAAAGTATTCTATTTATATATTCACAATTTACAGATTTATAATTTTTAAAATAATTTGATGAATTATATTTGTTTTTCCTATAATTGCTTTGTTTACATTATATATAGCCCAAAATATTAAAAACGAATTTTTTTTTTTGTTTTATTAAAAAATCTTGAAAAAAAAAAAAAAAAACATTAAGAAAAATTTATAATTTTCATTTATGTGTTTGATATAATTAAACACTCTTTAAAAAATGAAGAATTCTATATAATTACTCGTGAAATTATTAATACTAAATATAAAATCTCATAACAAAAAATTTTTTAATTTTTTACACTTTTATTAAAAAGAGAAAAAAATTATAAGGATATTCACTTATGCATTCATATGTAGGTGAAATGTGATAATTTTTTTTAGTATGTTATTTTGAGTTTTTTTTAACTTAGAATTTTTTTTTGGTTTTAGAATGAATTTAGTTGATTATGAAATTTCCAGTGAAGAGGAATTTGAAACATTATCGCTAAATGATAAAAAATACAATAATATAAATAAAAATGAAAGAAGTTGTAATATTAATAAAGAAACTAAAATAGATAATAATAATGCTGAAGTAAAGAAATGCGAACATAAAAAGTTCACTAGTTTTCAAGTAGAAATAAATGAAAATAATAATAATGAAAAAGTATTAGAAAAGGAGAACATATTTAGCCATTATAAAAAGAGAAAAATAGAAAAAGATGATATGATAGAAACAAACAATAATTCATCTGTGGAATCATTAAAAGAAAATTTTATTATAGATAATGAAAAAAGAAATATAGATAAAAAACATTCTAATACTTTATGCCTAGATGAACTAAAAAAAAATAAAGAGTTGTTAGTTGGAAAAAATGAATTAAAAAAATACAAAAAAGAATTAGGAGAAGAAAATATCGAAGAAAAAAATGAAAAAATAAATATAGACATTTTGAAACAAGAACAAATAGGAGAAAATATGAAAGAAAAAGAAAAACATATATATAATTTAAAAGATAAAGAAATCAAAAATAATTATAAAAATGAAATAAATGAAAATAATTCAAAAGAATATAAAAAAAAAAAGAAAAATATTGAAAACGAAGTAAATAAAAATATCTCAAAAAAAGATGATGATGAAAAAGAAGAAACAAAAGATAAAACAAAAGATAAAACAAATAAAAACATTAATAATTTACATAAAGAACAGAATAATAATAATAATAATAATAAAGAAAAAAATTTAAATGAAGAAATCTTTAATAATAAAAAATTTTTTGAAAATAATGATTTTATGAATATTGATATAGATGAAAATAATTTTGATGAAATATTTTTCTTACGAGAAAATGAATATTCTGATACTTTAAATAAAAAAATAGATGATTTATCACAATTATATGAAATAAATTTAACAATTAATAAAAATATTACTAATTCAAATGAATATAAAAATCCATGCATTTTAGAAAAAATTATGCAAATATTTAATATTGATGTATATTCATCTAATTATCCAATAAATATATACAATCCTCGTGATTTTTTATCAGTTGATTTGTTTAACGAAAAAAAAGATCAAGCTACTCAAAGTAAAGCAAAAACAAAATGGTCAAACATAAATTAACTTTTATATAATTGATGTTTTTCTTATTATCATAAAATTACTTGTGAAAGAATTCATGCATTAGCACATTAATAAAATTTTAAAAATCTATATTTGAGATATGAAGAATTCTATTATTTTACTAAAGTAATAATGATTTTTTTTTTTTTTTTTTTTTTTTTTTAGATTTATAAATTTATATTAATTTTTATTTAATAGGCAAAAATTTTCAATTTATAATATGTACATATATTTTTTTTTAAAATAATTCTTAAAGTTTTAATTGAATAAATAAAAAATATTAAATATTTAATAATGAATATAAATTAATAATGGTAAATGAAAACGAAAAAGAAAATATACAAAAAGAGATATTCTTTATAAAATCTAATTAATTCATTACAAAATTAATCAAAGTGCAAAATTTGAAATGTATAAAATTATGAAAGACATAAGGAATAAATATATAATGATTTTATTCTACAATTAGAGATATTTATAAAAAATTATATAAACTTTTTAATATAAGAAAATTGATATGAATATATATAAAATATCTTGAGGATATATAATGCCATAGAAAAAATCAATATTTTTTTACGTTAAGTAGAAAGTTAAAAATTATAATAAAAAAAAAAAATAAAAGAGAAAATTTAAAAATATGAGAAAGTATTATAATATTTACCTATAAAATTATTAAAATAATATAATTTCAATTAAAAATAATGTATTATATAAATATAACTTTTAATATGAATTTTCATTTATTAGGCGTAACACCATAGGAAAGATAATTCGAGATAAAAGAAAATTTATCTGTTGACCCTTGTAAATATTTAAAAAATTCATCAAAATTATTGACAGCATTTTTAGCTTTTTCCTTTAGTAATTTTTTTTCATTATCTTTATTATAACATAACATGCATACTTTATTTTCATTTAAACAATAATAATGATATGAATGGTTGCATAAAAAATGAATAATTGGTATAGATAATACTTCTTTACACAGAGAGCAATATGTATTTTCAATTAAGTGAAAGTTGCATTTATTCCTTAATTTTTTTTTTTTTACTTTATATAACTCCTTTTTATCTTTTAATATTTCTGCATATTTTGAATTTATATTTTGATCCATGTTATTTAAATAGGAAATAACAATTTTTTTTAGACATCCATAACTTTTATTATATTTTTGTAAAATTAATATTAAATTTAATAATGATAGAGTAGATTTTTTTTTTATTATTTTTATAAATTTAATAAGGAATTTGTCATCATTTAATAAGGATAAATAATAAAAAATATAATTATAGAATGAGTAGTTTAATTTGAAATGCTGAATACAAGTATTAAATATATATATGTGAGATTGTTTGTTCAATATTTTATGAAACTGTTTATCCATAAGTTGATAATTACTGTTATTTCTATTTTTTGATAAAAGCAGTTTTTGGTTATATTTTATTTTTATTACTTTAATTGCATTATTAATAGAAAATAGAAAAGATATATGAAATTTGTTAATTTTTTTGCATATATTTAATAATCCTTTATTATAATTATATATAGATAATAACAAAAGAGATAAAAATTTTATATTTTTATCCATGTTTTTTATTAATTTATCTATATTATGTGTTAAAATGGTATTTTTCTCATTTTTTTTATATTTTTGTAAAAGTATTTGCATAACTGTAACAAATAAGATATAATCGTAATCACCATTGAATATATCAAATTCTAATTTTTTTCTACTTATTATGTTAATGGAATTTTCATTATCACTCATATTATTTATAATATGATCATTAACTTTTTTTTTAATATAAAGTGATCTTTTGTCAACATTATTATTTTTATCCATAATTGTTTCCTCCTTTTTTTTATCCAGAAATTTTAAGATAAATATAAATAGGAAATCTATATTATCCATAAATAAAGGAATAAAAATGGTTAAATTTAAATTATATTTTTTAATAATTTTTTTTAATAAATGAATAGTTAATTCAGGAAAATATTTAATAAATTTATATCCATATCGGAATAATAAGATACATATATTTTCTACATCTAATTTAAAGATATATTTTAAGCTTTTTTCATAATTTTCAAATTTATCTATTAAGATAGATATATATGTTAAGTGATCTTTATTTCGTTTGGAAAATTTTAAAACTACATTATAATAGCCAATATTTAATAAAAATTTATATGTTTTACTTAAATTAATTTTGTTCCTATAATTCTTTATGAAAGTTATCATTTTTTTTTTTTTACATTCTTTTTTATAACAAGATAATAACATCATTGTATGTTCATCATTAAAAAGATGAAGTTCATGTAATTTTTCTAAATATATAGATAAATATTCATATAAATCTAAGTTTAAATATTTATGAATAACATAAGAAGTTTCTAAAAATCCAATAGTTTTTATATATTGATACAAAGATTTTTCATACTGCTCTTTTTCAAATAAAAAATCTGCATAAATTTTATAAACATAACCAAAATTAACAGAATTATAATTTTTATTTAATTCGGAATATTTGATTAACCAATGAAATAATTTTTTTTTTTTAAAAATGTTTATAATTTCATTCATATTATTTTCTTTTAATACTATTTTAATTTTCTTTTTAGAATTTTTGAAAACTTTATTATTTAATTTAAAAAATTTATCAGTATATGGTTTTTTTTCTTCTATGTAATTTTCTTCATTTATCATATCTTCCTTTTTATTTATATTCACATCATTTCTTACGTTTCCTCTATTTATATTTTTATTGTACATTTTAAGTATATCAAAATTTTTTGTTTTTGTTTTTTCTGATTCTATAAAGATATCACTTACACTATCACTTCTATCAAGTCTAGAGCTTTCGCATTCTTCTTTAGAAATGTAGTTGTTCTTTGAATGTTCATAAAAGTAATATTTATCAATTTTAGTCTCAGATTTCTGAACATAATCATCAATAATAAAAAAGAGTAAATTATTAAAAAAGATAATATTTGTTAACATGTAATTGAATGATGTATTAAAAACTATTAATTTCATATCTTCATATATAATATATATGTTTATATAATATTTCTTATTAAATTCTAAAAGCAAAATTAAATAAAATTTTGCACAAAATAAATCAATTATTTTTTTATCAAGTAAAATATATTCAAACTTTCTATTATTTAAGTTCAAAACACATAACACTTTAAGCAAATTATGGCATATATATAAAACGTTTATTTCTTCATTATATATTGATAATACTGATTCATCTGATAATATATTATTATTATTATTATTAGAAAAATTTAATTTAATACTTTCAATAAATTCATAACTAATAGATAAAGTATTTTTTATCAATTTATAAATATTTACACAATTCTTTTTTAGAATTACTAAATTATCATCTTTACATAAAAATACATTTTCAGTATTGTCTTCATCTTCTATTAATTCACTTTTATTTATACTATAATCATTAGTTATATAATAAAATGTAATTTTATCATTTTCTAAAGTAATTATGTAATCTAGACAATTGCTAATTAAAGCTTTTTTTATATTTTCATAGTTTTTAATTAAATTTATTTTTTTTAGATGAATGAAATTATATTCTTTTATGTTGTATATATTGCATATTAGTGCGTTTTTTCTTTTCCTTAAAAGATAAAAAAAAAAAAAAAAAAAAAGTAAAAAATATTAAAATAAAAATCTTTATGTATAAATTTTGAAAATATAGAAATATTTAAATAGGAGTTAAAATAATGTATTGTGTACTTTTCACAGAACTTTTTAAATATTTTCGTTTGATTTATATATAAAATATTATATATCATAAAAAACTTTTCGAAAAAATATATAAATATATATATGTATATAAATTATAGAACATTTTATTATTACATATTCTATTAATTCAACGAAGATGAAATATAAAAAAGAAAATAAAATATTTATTAGAATATGAAGTATAATAGGAAGAAAATAGAAAATATAGACATTTATATTGAATCAGTAATCTTAAAATACATAAAGTGATAAAAATAAAAAAATAATAAAACGAAACAATAAACTTGTATAAAAATAAAGAACAAAAAAAAAAAAAAAAATATGATATAATATTTACCCTAAAATAATGAGATTATTTGTTTTATCATTAAAACAAAAATTAACAATGAGTGTGTTAGTACTCACTGTTGTAACATTTAAATTTGATGGGTCAATAAAAAGAATTTTGTCTAAAAAGACATTTATAAATTTATTAAAAGAACAAAAGAAAATTCCTTCATAATTATTTAAAAATTTTTTTATTTCTCCTAAATTAAAAATATATATATATACATTTATATGTATATCTAATATTAATATTAATTTTTTTTTTTTTTTTTTTTTTTCAAGTTACTTGTATCTTTTGTTTGGTCTTCATGAAAGAGCGGTAATCTTCTAAAATTAAACATTTTTGAATATATTTTTTGTCATTTTTATATTCCCCAAAAAATGAGAGATAGAAAAAATTATAACTAAAAAAAAAATAAGTATATAAATTAAATAATTATATACTTTAACTTTTTTTTTTCTTTATTGAAATTTATTGAAGAAAAAAAAATATTTATTTTTATGTTTATGAAACATATTATAATTTTTTAATGCAATGTGATGATAAAATTCTGATAAATTTTTAAATCATCATAATTTAATTAAAATACATGATATTTAATAAACATATTTTAGGAAGTTGATATTTCACTTATATATTAAAAAAAAAAATAACTTATTAATATGTATTTGGAACTTTTATTCAAAGTTATTTAAATATATGGAAATTTTTTATACAAAAAATAAAAATAGAAATATAATAAAATAAATAAAAAGTCATTTATATAAGAGGCATACTAAAAAGGACATAAAAAACAAAAAAAAAAAAAAAAAAAAAAAAAAAAAAAAAAAAAAAAAAAAAAAAAAAATAAAATGAAAAAATGAAATAAAAAAATGAAATAAAAAAATGAAATAAAAAAATAAAACAAAAATTTAAAAAAACAAGTAAAAAACAAAAGAGCAAAAACACATTTTCTAAAATAATGATAATTTATAATAAATAAAATGAATGAAGCTAAAGAAGGTATAAAAATAGAGTTACTTCGTTTATGTCCACCTGTTTTGAATTACAATATTTGGAATTTATTTAAAATTGATAATATAATAAATGATAATATTGAAAAAAATAAAAATGATGATATAAACATATCAAACGAATTTAGCTTAAGTCTTCTTGTGAATTCTAAAAAAATTTATTTCGGTCAGAATTTCAAATCATATATTAATGTCTCAAATAATTTAAAAAATAATATCACATTAACTTTAATAAATGTTGATATTATGATGAAGCATAATACATTTAATATTTATAAAAATACAGGACAAATTAATGTTCTACCTAACTCATTTTTCGATTTTATTACTTCATTTCCAGTTGATTTCCTTGATATTTTTACGTAAAAAAATAAATTACATAAACAATAAAAACATATATATATATATATATATATATTCACTTATATATTAATTATTATTTTGATGTTTTATTTTAATATTTATTTTTGTATAAACGTATTTATTATTTTTTTTTTTTTTTTGATACATTATAAATTTTTAAAAAATATTTTATTTATTGTATATTTTTGATTAAAGCTATTTTTCTTAACAAATTTAAAATGCTTTGGATTTTTATTTTATCTTTTTAGAATACGTTGCGTTGTAGAATATATCAATGGAAACGATAAAAAAAAATTAAAAAAAGATTTTAACTTCATTAGTAAAAATCCTTTTAGCTTAAAAACGAATATATTACATAAAAAGGATAATTTATATATAGAAGTGGTAGTGAAAAATATAGAAGAGGATAATATAATGATGAATGATCTTGTAATAAAAGATTTAAAATATGAATTAATTAAATATGAAGAAACATTAAAAGTTCATAATGGTATTTATTATTTCAAACAAAATGATGAATACTCAATAATTTTTTGTGTAAAAGATGAAGAAAGTAAATTAAGTATTTTAAATTCTCTAAATGATGAAAATATAGCGAACATAGAAATATTATATTTTACAAGATACGGTGGTAAAGGTGTGAATAATTTACATTATCTAAAAAAAAAAATGATTACAGACAATATTAGAATATACTTAAGCAAACCAAAAGATATATTTTATAAGGTAAATAAGATTTATATATTTGAAATTGTATTTGAAAATAATACAGATATAAATATTCTACTAGAAATATTCATACATAATAATGCAAATATTCATGTGGTGAACAATTTTGTAAAAATTCACATGATTGAAAAAAAAAAGAAAATATCTCATTTTTTTAATGTTTTATTTATTAATCCAGGAATTCATTTTTTTAATAAAATTACTATATATAATAAAACAACTAAAAAAAAAATAGATTATATTAAATTGTTTAAATTATTTGTTAAATAGTATATATTTTTACATATATATGTATGTGTAAACATAAACGGCATAAAGAACATTAATAAAGTGATATACAAAAAAAAAAAAAAAAAAAAAAAAAAAAAAAAAAAAAAAAAAGAAATATATATATATATATATTTATTTATATATATACATAAAAACAAATAATATTTAAAATTAAAATAAAAAAATTTATTATATTTATTGAATTTATAAGAACGAAATATTAAAAAAAAAATGAAAAATGAGTATATTTCACTTTTTTGTATTTTGTTCTAATACAAAATTTGCAGCATTACCCACTATTAAATTAATTTTTTTTACTTTTGGTTCTTCTTTATTTAAAGATAACTCATCTTCATCATAATCATCTTCACTAGATGTATAATCATTTGATTCATTTTTATTTAAAAATTCTACTTCATCGTAAAAAATATTTTCAAAATAATCTTGATCAAATGTTAAATCATTACATTTTTTATCAAAATAATAGTTTTTATAAGATTTAATATTCCCTAATTCATTTTTATGAAAATAGTAAAAGCTAACATAACCATCTGAACTTGAACAGGCACATATGTTTCCCAAATTATTCCATGAAATATCCGTGATTGGACATAGATGCATATTTTTTACTATACTAATTGGTGTATCTAGAATTTCACTATCATAGAAATACACACTTCCATCAAAAGTACCTAATGCATATATAAATCTTTCCTCTTTTTTATCTTTAACTCCACATAACATATCTATATCATTTGTTTTTTCATCATAATGATCATCATTACGTATATTACTTGAATAATTTGTGGTTTTAATTGTTTCATCTTTTTTTTTAATAGAGTTTTTTAGTTTATGTTCGTCTATATTTAATTTTTTTACATTTTCTTTTTCTATTCCCATTTCATTTTCCTTTTTAATATATATATTTCCCGAATCATGATTATCCTTTTCATTTTCTCTTTCATTTTTTTCTTCTTCATTTTTCTGTTCATTTTCTTCATTTTTATGATCATTTTTTTCTTGGCTTATCTTTTCATTTTCTTCAATTTTTTGTTCATTTTCTTCAATTTTTTGTTCATTTTCTTCAATTTTCTGTTCATTTTCTTCATTTTTCTGATCATTTTCTTCATTTTTCTGTTCATTTTCTTCATTTTTCTGTTCATTTTCTTCATTTTTATGATCATTTTCTTCTTGGCTTATCTTTTCATTTTCTTCATTTTTCTGATCATTTTCTTCATCTTCATTATCATTTTCATCTTCATCTTCATATTCTTTTTCCTCTTCATCTTCTTCTTCATCTTCTTCCTTTTCTTTCTTTTCCTCTTCTTTTTCATCATACTTTTCATAAAAATTTTTATTTTCAATTTCTATAGTTTTATCGAAGTTATCTGATAAAATATATTCTTTGGAAGAAGATTGATATGAATTTTTTTCATAGTTAAACTCTCTATCACTATCTGTTATAGTGCTACTAACATTTTGGCTTACGTCGTCATGAATTTCAAAATCATTAAATAACAAAGTTTTTTCATAATTTAATTTTATTATATTTTCATTATTTTTTAATTCATTAAAAAATAATGTTTCATCGGATACTCTTCTTTTTTTATTAGAATGTGTTACATCGTCTGTATCAAATTTACTATTTATTAAATGCTTGTAGCATCTTTTAAGAATATTTTGATGTGTTCTTAATTTAAATGTATTATAATTAAATTTTGCTACTAGAAAATGACTTGTTTGTGAAAATATTGTAAAAAATGGAATATTGTATTTAATAAACAAATTTTTATGATATATATAAAAGCAACTATAAGCTTTTATTTGATAATTAGGTTTTGTATTTTCTTCTGACTTTGTATTTTTTTCATTAATTTTTTCAACTTGTTCAAATTGAATACCACTAGGAGCAACCAAAAATTCACCATTTGGAGAAAAATCTATACGTCTGAAAAAAGATGGTAGCATTTCTTCACTTGAAAACAGACATCTTTTTAACTTTTTTTCTTCTTCTTCTTCTTCTTCATCTTCATCTTCATCTTCCTGTTCTTCCTGATTTTGTATTTTTGTTCTTTCATATTCTCCCTCTTGTTTATCTTGATCAATTTGTTGTTCTCTTTCCTGTTTTTCTTGTTCTTCATCATTCCAATTCTCTTTTTTTTTTTCTTGTATTTCTTGTTCTGATAATTCATGGTTTCCTTTTTGTGTTCTTTCAGTTTCTTTTTTTCCTTCTTTTCTACAGGTATTATTTTCATTTTTTTCTGTATATTTTTCATTATCTTCACATTCTTCATCTGAGATAAAACCTGTATTGCGTTTTTCAAGTTCGTCTCTTTTTATATTTTTAATAGAATTTTCAAGTTTCCATGATTTTCCGTCTATTTTTTTTTTCCAAATTTTAAGTGTTTGATCAGCACTTAAAGAAGCTAAGAATTCATTGTTGGTATCTATTGATATACCTTGGATCATACCGGTATGACCTTCTAAAACTTTTATTTTGCAATTAGTATTTTTAACAAAATCAATAATATTAATATTATTATCTTCATTTCCTATATATAAAGTATCATTATTTGACCATATAATACTGTTTATAACCCCACTACATCTAAATGATCCTACTCTAGTCCACCATTCTTTATAATCTAAGAAACTTATATCATAACCTAATGGAATGTTTCTAGGTTTTTTGCTTTTTTCCCAAACATATAAAAATTTATCTTCACCTCCACTAGCTAAATATCTTCCATTTTTATTAAAACGAACACAATTTATTTCACCATTATGACCTATAAATCTACTTAAACATTTTATTGATAAATCTTCTTTTATATATACTCTCCATAGGTGTATAAATTCATCGGCACCACATGTAGCTATATTAAACTTTATTCCTTTTTTTTTATTAACGATACTAGGAATATTATTTTCACTTAATAAAGTATTAGAATTAGTTTCACTTACTAAACTAGTTATTTTACTATAATCTTCTTTTATTAAATCATTGATATTATTGTCATTCTTTAAAGAATCTAATAAATTATCATTAATCGTATTATCATTTATAATAGTCTTTTCATTATTATTTGTACATTTAGTATTAATGTAATCTATGTCGTTATCGACTTTTAATGTACTTATATTATTATTTATCTTTTCTTCACTTTTTCCATAACTCATATCATCTTTTTTTTTTTCTTTTAAAAATTTTTTAAATGATTCATATTTTTTATGTAATTTTTTTACACTATAATAATTTGGATATGGTTGTATATCAATTGAGTAAATGCGATCACTTCTTTTGTTATCTTTGCTGTGCCATAAAATTTGAGGCAAATATACATTTGGCATTTTTATTATTATAAAAAAAAAAAAAAATAAAAAAAAAATAATTTTTTGACAAAAAAACTTTAAAAAGAAAATAACATATGCTATTTATGCTTATAACTATTTAATGTGAATACTGAGAAAGGTTTATATTCTATTAAAAAAAAGTTATTCAAATATAAAAAAAAATTATAGTAAAGATATCATAAATGTAATTGTTTAATTTAAAATATTCACACTAGTAGATTTATGTTTAAATAGTTAAAAAAAAAATCTTTCTTTTTTTTTTTCATATAGTAATAAATATATATATATATATATATATATATATAAAATAAAATTAAAAATATAATGATAATGAAATTAATTCTTGAAAAAATATTAAAAACAATAGTAAAACATTTCAATAAAAATGATTGACTTCTTAGTAATGTCTATATTTAAAAAAAAAATTAAGATAAATAAAAAAAAAAGAAAAAACAAATATGTATATTTATATCTAAAAATAATATTTTATTGATGATAAAAAAAATAAAATAAAAAATCAATAAAAGCCAATTTATTATTATTTTACTTTTTTTTTTTTTTTTTTTTTTTTATTCATATGCTTTTTATTCTTTTGCAAATTTGTTTAATGTTTTTTAACTTTATGTATATTTATATATTGTTTATAAAACTATTCTTAAAAATATTGCAAAATATATAAAAAAATATATGAAACACATATATAAATGGAAACACATTATTATTAATTAGAAAATGTTTTCTGTATGTTTTATTAAATTTTTTTTTTTATAATTTATGTGTTTAACATACAAAAAAAAAAAAAATAAATAAATAAATATAAATATATATATATATATATATATATATATATATATATATATATATATATATATATAAATGTAAAAGAATAAAATATGAAAATAAAATAAACAAATCATTGTATTTATTAAATCAATAGTGAAAATTACTTTTAATATTTAAAAAAAAGAAAGGAAAAAGAAAGATGTAAAATTCTAGAAAATGAAAATTTTGTCTTTGAACATCTAATATTTCTACATATATTAAGAACACACTTTTAATTTCGTATATATTACAGCAATTTTTATAATAAATTATTAAGAATATTATTTGTGGAAAATTTATAGAAAATTTATTATTATAATATTAAAAATATTTTTTTTTTTACTAGATGCTATTTTTTCAAGAAATACATTCTCTATATGTTGTATATGAATTATTTTATTATTTTACTGTTTTTTTTTTTTTTTTTTTTATCTCTATTAAAAGAAAAAATGTATTAAAATATGTTAAGCCTTTTACTTCATAAAAATAAAAAAATTTATTATAAAATATTATCTCAATAATTTTTTTTGCTTTAAAAGATTTCATAAATTTGTATAATTTTATGTATATAATTATATAATTATTAATTTTTAAATGATTTTTTTTTTCATATAAAGGAATATAAACAATTGATGAATATAAAATATTTGAAAACTTTAAATAAGAAAGACAAGATTTAAAAAAAAAATTGCAACATTATATTTCTTAAATTTATTAAAGATTTATTTACCTTTAGTTATATCTTAAATAAATAAATTATAATTAAAAGAAAATTACTGTATAATAATTAAAATATATTTTATGAATAATAATCAATAAAAAAAAAAAAAAAAGACATGAAAAAGATTATTATATCTATTAATTATTTTAACATTAATAAAATTTAGGGAAATTTCATTATTTTTATTATTTTATTAAGTCTTTAGATTCTGGTAAAATATAAATATATTAAGATGATTAAGGTATTTTTTTAATTATAATATTTATATTTAAAAATAAAATCTTTATGCTACTTTAAAGAATAAAAAAAAAAAAAAAAAGGACAAAAGTCTAATAATGATTTATTAAACTTTAAACAGAATATATATATTAATAAATTTTAAGAGTTTGCAAATGTTTATACATACAATGAAAAATGAAGAAAAAGATAGAAATGTTTTAAGTAATCAGGTAAATGAAAAACTAGGTAATTATGAAAACAAAAAAAAAAAAAACATTAAAAATGGGATTCATATTTTCTATAAATTTATAAGAAAAAATTATAAAATATAATTTTAATTTTTTGAATTTAAAAATATAAGTGAAACTACAAAAAAATAAAAAATAACATTAAATGAAAATAAGTATTATATGGAAATATTATTTTGATTTTGTTTAAGATTCTAAAATGAAAAAGAATTTTTAATGAAATTTTGAATACTTTATATTTCTTTATAAATTTATTTTTAGTACAAGGTGTAATAAATTTTTGATTTTGTTAAAAAAAAAAAAAAAAATCTATAATAATAAAAATGATAGAAGAATGTTTATCTTATATCCATTTCTTAATAATAGCTCTTCATTTGTCAAAAAAATATAATTTAAAGTTTCAAAAAAGATTATATCAAGACCTTATAGAAACATATTGCTATAAAAATAAATTAAATATAAAAAAATATATACTTGATAATAAATCTTATTTAAACTATAATAACTTAAATTATTTATATAAATATACGAAAGAAATATGTAAAAAAGACAATAGTGAAAATTTAATGAAATATGCATATATTTATTGTTGTTATAAACTCAGAAAAGAAAATAACAAAGTAATTGTTTTAATGATACTAGACCATGACTTTATTATATATAACTGCAATAATAATTTATATGAAAACTATAAAAAAAAGGATTTAAAAATTTATGAATATAATTTTCATAATGTTAAGTCATTACCAGGTTACAGTTCTGCATATTACTTGTTAGGAAAATTGTATGAACAGGAAGCTAAAAAAGAATTTATTAACGAAATAAAAAAAAAAAAATTAATAGATATATCATCTTATTGTTATTATTTATGTTATAAAACATGTCCTTTTTTGATATGTTCTTTTAAAAAACTATTATTAATACATAGCAACTTTTATTCATGTAAATATATGGAAGAAATAAAAAAAATTTCAAAATTTTATAACTTTAGATTTCATACATACGGACTGTGGAAATATGGATCTATTAAAAAGCAAGAAGAACATGAGAAAAAATATAATAGTGAATTTGATAATAACATTTTAGAATTGATAGAATTAGAAGGGAAAATAAAAAATATAAATATAAAAAGTTCTGAATGTATATTATCGTTAATAGAAGAAGAAAAAATAAATAATTTTTTTTTAAATTGGATGGAAATTTTAAAAGATGCAAATGTCCCAATAAATAATAAAAGTAAATTTATTTCAAAAGAGGCAATATATGATATATCAACAATAGGAAATTTTTATTTTTATTTATATTCAAATAATATTAAAAAATCATTATTTATATTAGATGAGTGGAAAAATCAGCCAATTTTTAGTATTCTTATTTTTTATTTTAAAGGATTATGTTACTTTTTACTTAGAAATTATGAAAAATCTGCATTTTTCTTTGAAAAAGTTCATGATATTGAACATTATTATACAAAACACTTGCCAATTTTATCCACATGCTATTGGCATTTAAAGAAATTAAGCAAAATAGAATATATTTTAATAAGTTATCCAAAGAAAGAAATCAATGAATATTTCTTATGTCTTATTGGAAATTATTTTTCGCTAAAAAATAAGAAAGAGTTAGCTTCTTATTTTTTTAGAAAGGCAACGGAGTTCAATACTTTATATGAATATTCATACATTCTTTATTCGTGTGAAATGAAAAATTTAGGAAAAATAAGAAAAGCAGTTATAGCATTATCAAAGTGTCTTCATATAAATCCTTGTAACTATAAGGCACATTTGCTATTAAGTGTTATATTATTTCAAAGTGGGAATTCTCAATTAGCAAATATACATTTAAGTTTATCTCTCAAATTAAATACTACAGATCCCCTTATATGCTTATATTCCGCATTACTATATGATTATAATGAAAAATATGAAACAGCTCTTCTTTGTCTAGAACATGCGAAGAAAAATTATTATGAAGGAATTGACTTCTATGTACTACAAGGAATTATATTTTTAAAAATGAAAAGAAATTTAGATGCATTAAATAGTTTCCTGAAAGCTCAAAATATTTATCCAAATAATAATTATATTAATACATATATAGCTTTGACATTAGCCTTAGAGAAAAAATTTGAAAAATCTAAAAAAATAATAAAAGAAATTGTTCTGCAAAATCCAAATAATATGAATAGGAGATTATTAGAGGATATTTATAAATGTTGTAATTTAAAAATAATACCAGATATATACGTATTAAATAAAATTAATTTTCATTATAAATAATAGATCTTTTTAGAAAAAAAAAATACATATATACAACACTTATAAAAAAAAAATGATTTGTTAAATGTAAAATTTAATTTAAAAAAATTAGATTTAAAATGAAAATGAATGTATACTCTTTAAAAAATTTTATAAACATATTGACACTTCAAATAATTACCATGTGATTTTATGTAACAGAGAGAATTTGTTTGTGCATTAACTTTTCATCATTTAAAGGAACAAAAACCCTTATTTATTTTTCATTATATAATTAGAATTAAAATTAAATTATTTTTTTTCTTAAATATAAAAAAAAAGAAAGAAAAATATAATTCTTGCAACTAAACATCCTAATCGTGGAATATAGAAACTATAAAAATATAATTCATTCTCTTAAAATATTTTTTTATTATTCCATTTATTATTATTAAAAAGAAGTAATTTATTTTATACATTATGAATTAATTTTTAAAATTTTTATTTTTCATCGTTTGTTATTAATATTTTGTCTTAAGAATACTTGTTTAATAAAAAAATATAAGAAACTATATTAAAAAAAAAAAAAAAAAACTACAATTTTATGTCAAATTCAATATTTAAAATTTTACAGCTTACATGTGCTATATATATAAAAGATTAATTTAAAAAATTGAATAGTGTATTTTTAATTTTACTTAATTTGTAATTTTTTTATGTATTTTATTTTATTCACTGAACAAATAATTGTCTTCAATAAATAGAAATTATAATTTCTCAAAATATACAACATAAATTTCTTAATTTTTTAAATTACGTGAGGTTAAGTATTAAAATAATACGAATATTTTTAAATTTATTGTAGTATTCATCATGTATTATATTTGTTTTGCAAATTTTACAAATTGTTTCTTTTAATAAAACCTAAAAACAAGAATATTATATTAAGTTACCAGAGGTAGTATTTTTATTTCAAAAATTAATCTGCATTGTTTAAAAATTTTCTTTTAAAAAAAAAAAAAATTATGTAAATAAAAATAAAAAATATGGAAAAATTTTATTTTGTTAAAAAAATTATTACTTAAAAACATTTACTATAGAAAATTACACACCTTCATATTTTATTTAAGATAATATGCAAATTAAAAAAAAATATTTATATAATAAAAATATAATTTTGGAAAATAGATGTTTTTAAAGTTTTTTTATACATATAAATTTAGATTTATGTAATAATTAAAAAAAAAAATAAAATTTATTTGAATAAAAATTTTATATTTTCATTTACTATTTTGGAATAAGTATTCTATTTAAATTTTAAAATTTTGTTAAATTTATTTTTTATTTTATTATTTGTATTTTATTTTTAAGTTTATGATTATTTAAGATTATTAATGAATTTTTAACCTAATATTTTTTTTTTGGTTATATATAATAAAATTCAAATGTTTAAAATTTATTATATTCTTAATACTGAATATTTGCGTATGAATGATATATTTTTAATTTGCTTGTATATTTTATTTTTTTATGAAACATAGACGCATTAAAAAGAAATATATAAACAAATGCATATTTTTAATCATTATAGATATATAATGTTTTTTAAAAGTATGAATTACTTTAAAAAAAAAAATTATAGAGCACCTTATTTGCAGAAAATACATATTATTTATTTTTTACGGAATCCTATAATAAATCCTTTTAATATTCCATTATTTGACATTAAAACTAAAATTAAAAGATGTCTATAATTTTCATTCACCTAATTAGAATTTTTTTAAAAAGAAAGTATGATTAAAAAGAAAAAGAAATTTTATGCATATGTAGTGCAAAGGATAATTCTCTTTTACAAAAGTATATATATTAAAAGAGGAAGTGTTTTTTTTGGTTTATTTTCTTTTGTTTTTAATGGTTATTAATGATTATAATAACTAAGTTTGAGATAATAGTATTAGTTGATATATAAAAATAAAACATGAAGATACAAACTTTTAAAATTTCCATGTCCTAAATTATTTATTAACTTTTTTGTTACTCTATAACTTTTTCAAAAAATATGAGAATTAAATCTTAAATACTTTAATTTTTAGTTAATATATAATTTTTTTGATATCCAAATTACAAAAAAAAAAAAAAAAAAAAAAAAAAAGTGAAATGTTAAAGTTTTTATATGTATAAAAAAATAAAATATTTATTTTCTTATAAAAAAAAATAAATTATTGTGTTAGTTACTATTATTTCCATTTAAACAGAAAATAAAAAAAAAATGAAAAAGTTATTTTTTTTAACAATTATATTTTCCTTTATTTTTCAGAAGGCTATAAAAGGACAAACATGTATTAAAAGTTTGTCTAGTTTTAATATAAGGGATTTAACCATAGCTAATTTTCTTCATGCTCATAATGAAGATTATGAGGTTTTAGGTAAATGGATTCATTTCTTTTTCAGTCATTTTGACAATGATAAAGATCTTATGAAATTTATGTCAACTTTTGATATTAAATCATTAGATCTTTTAGACAGATCATGCATAAAAAGAGCACTTACTATATATTTACTTCACTATTACTCTAATACTATAAAAAAAATGTCAAATGATGGAACCTATGTAAGTTATTTTAAAAATATATTTGAAGGCTATAGTTCTTTAACTTCCGAATTTATTAGGGTTATTGCAGATCGTCATTACATAAATCTTTTGGATACTATTATAGTTAATAAAGAAAAAACTAAAATTCGTAGTGCAATTTTTCCTTTAAAAACTTTCATTAAAGCAAGTAAAAAAGGAGATTACTCATTAGAAGAAAATAAAGCTAAAATGAATTTTTCAGATGCAAATAACTTTAAATTTAAATTTTTAGATAATAAAAAATTAGTAACTTCTGTTAATGAAGCTAAAGCCATACAAGACTTTAATTTACTTGGTATGTTAGGCGTTAAAGATCTTTATTACAATTCTGATATAACAAGATCAGTAGAAGGAGTTTTTTATGTTTTTAATAAAAATAAAAGACTTGGACTAAGAAGACGTAGTGGAAAATATGATATATATAGTAAGGAAGGAAATTCAAAAGTATTTGGTAATTGTATAAAAGATAATCATTTTTATCATGGATCTGTAGATGATTTAGCAACTTTTTTTTTCTCAAATATGAAAATGAAGATGGTAAAAGGCCATAAAAAATTTCTGGATGATTTTGAACTTGCTTTAAATAAAAAGACATACAAAATGCCTAAATTGAAAGGGTTTAGATTTATCAAACAACTTTTTAGTAGAAAAAACTTCAAGAATTTTATAAAATTGTATGCTAACCATGTATCAACAGAATTAGCTTTCTTAACACAGGATTTTCAAAATTTATTTGACATTACGTTACAATGCCAAATAAAAAACATAAATCGTGCAGGAACTATATATTATATTTTGAAATATAGAAATGCTTTGTAAATATTTTCCGAAAATTTTCTTATATAACAGTACATTAAACTTTAGTTTTGTAGATTTTTTTTTTTTTTTTTAATTTTCATAAAATATTATATAAAAATTAAAAATATGGAGTAATATAAATTTTTATATGAACTATTAATATATATTAATTTTTTACCAAATTTTTTGTAATAAACTAAAATATACCTTATTTTATCTTGAATGATAATACATATTTTATTAGTGAAACTTTAGGTATCAAATTTGGGTATTTGTTTTATCAAAATTTTATAAAATAATTTATAAAATTTTATTTTTATTTTATAACATATACCACTTATAACCTTTCTAAAGTAAAAAATAAAATTCTAATTGTAGAATAGTTAATTTTTTCAGTTTTTTTGCAAATTTATTTAAAGAAACTAAATATACTACTAAAAAAAAAAAAAAAAAAAGAAATTATTTTCTCATCTATATTCCTTGAATATTAAAAAATCTCTAAATATCTTTTTCTTCTATATTTCTCATAGTTGCTTTACATTTAGGATATTCTTCATGAGATATAATTTAGGTTTTCTTTTATGGTCAATAAAAAGATTCATTTTTTTTTTTTTTTAAATATTAAAAATAATATTTTAAGTTTCAAATGAATAATATTTCAATAATATAACTAATAATAAATTAATTTTTTTAATGGAATGTTTTTGTATTTTAGGAAAGAAAATTAAAAATTGCATTAAAAATTTTTCTTATGATCATATGATTTAATTTGTATCACTAAATTATTTTAAGATATTTTAAGAAATTTTAAGAAATCAATATAGAATTTTAAAAATAAGGTTTACTTAAATATAAATTTATTTAATTAATGTAACTAATTAATGTTGAATTTTTTAGGTATTTTTTTAAACCCTTTTTATAGCAATATGAGTTTATTATGCTACATTTAAATGAATCATTATAAGTTATTATAGGATTCGCACTACTAAACATTTTTAAAATATACAAAAAGGGGATTAAAAAATAATAATCTTATTTATTTCTTGAAAAAAAAAAAAAAAAATAGAATTATGTCTTTTTCAAGTTTAATAATAAGATTGCACTAAAAATACAAAGGATGAAAAATTATTTTTTATATTTTTTAAAACGATAATTTATTTATATAGAAATCACCATAAATATAATCTATAAATTAAAAAAAAAATATATATTTTTTTTTTAATGAATTTTTTTTTTTTTTTTTTTTGGAAATACTCTACTAAATATTTTAAGTACATCTTCGAAATAGTTTATATATAAATTCTATTTTTTATTTTATAACTTAAGGTTATTAAAAATGTTGAGTAAGATTTATAATTGTTAATTAAACTTTGAATAAATATTTATTATTGATAAAATAATATTATTTTTTTTTATAAAATAATATTATTAAACAGAATATTTTTTTAGAGACATCAATTGTGAAATTTAATACATGTTTATACCGTACATAAATTCAAATCATAGCTTATGGTCGGAAAATATAAAAATAAACTTCATTATAAAGATATATGAACTTTTTTTTTAATGTAATGACTTATAGAATATTTCTAATTTTTTTTTTAAATTAGCATAATAATGAATGTTAAGAAACTGTCTATAGAGGCCATCATTAACTTTTTTTTTTAGAATTTTTATAATGATAGTTTCTTATTTTAAATAGTTATGTGTGTATGAAAGATAATTAATAGACATATATAAAGGTATATCTACAGTGACAAGTGCAAGAAATTTCTGTAGAAATAAAAAAATCACAAAGGTTCTTATAAAAAAACTGCATATTTTCCGAAATGTAGAATATGTATTCTTACAAAATATGCGTGACAATAATAATAAATTTATGTAAAAAAATTAGTTTTGCATTTTTTTTTTTTATAATTTTATAAAAACTATTGATGGATGTAATAAAGACTATGAAATACATAATAAATATGTTTAGCATATTATAAATAGATAATTATATATGAGACATATATAGTTATTTGTTTAAATTCATTTTATTATAAATAAAATAGGTAGAAAAATTTCTGCATGTTTTCTATTAATTTGACTATTAATGCACTATAAAAATCTTTGAACATTTAATTAACAAATCAATTACCTTACTATTTTAAAAAATTACTCATTCAAGAAAAAATATTTAAATAATTGTTTATTTTATAAATTTTATATTATTTTTTAAATAATAGGAATAATGGGACATAATTAAATTTAATTTTTGTTTTGCGTTTCTTCATATCATTTTTTTTTTAGAGGCTTACTCTATTTTTACATGTGACTAAAGGATTAAAAAAATATTCATTTGCTACAAAAAACATGTTAAATTTTTAATGAAATCATAAATGAACGTTTTAAGGACCTTTATTTTAATATATGTACAAAATAAAAATTTTACATTAATAAAAAATGATTCTGGGAAATAAATTTTGGAAAATTATAAATAATTATTAGAAAATTAAATGAAATTAGTAGATATAAAAAATATCGATAAACATTTTTTGCAAATAAACTAAAACTCAAGTAGATTGAGATTAATTAATTAAAAAGTATGGTTTCTTATTGACAGCTTGTTTTATTATATTTTTTTTTATTGTAATGTTTATTATATTAATGTCTACAGTTTATGATGCCTTTATAATTTTGACTTTTCTTAATTTAACAGAATTATTTCTTTTTTTTTTTTTTCTTTTAGTAATACATATTTAAATTTTCTTTTTACTTTAAATAGAAATAAAATAAATATTGAGAATTAAATTGGAGAGAAAAAAAAAAATATGTAGATATGTATGACAAAAATATCCAACATTATGATAATTCATTATTTTTATAAAGAATAATGTTACGTAACAGTGTATTTTGAAAAATAAAAAAAAATAAAATAATTATATATTTTATAAAATCTAAAATGAAATTCTTATATGTTAAAAAATATAGAATTATTAATTTTAATTGTTTTATCAATTATAAAAATTAAAAATATAGTAAATGTAGAAAAATTGAATTAATTATATACTGCAAACTGAAATTAGCATAAATTTGTAATAAAAATTAAACAATGTAAATTTTGCTATATTTATGTAATTGCATATTTTTAATTATGCTAGTAGACTAAAAAAATAAAGTATCAAAAAAAATATACTTCAAATATAAGAAAATTATTTTATTAATCCAAATTTTATAAGAGGAAAAATTTTAAATTAAAAAAATATTATTTTATTTTTTTTCATTATGTAATAAAAAATATAAAAGTTAATTGTTCTATTATCTATACATGGTAATGATATAATTCATTTCATATTAAATTTTTAATACTAGATATAATATTTTAAAATATAATATAATTTTATTATTAAGAATATATTATATTTAATATACTTAAATATTTAGTATGGTAAGAAAACATGTAAAGGATTATGGACAATATTTTATATTAATTATTTGCTTTATAATAAAAGTGAAATTTACAAAATTATATTTGTTAAAGTTATATCTTATTAGTATATTGATTTATTAATTGCCTGTTCATTGACTTTACTAGTAATGAACGAACAAATTCATAAAGAACATATAGAGAAGATTCACTTTACTTAAAATATGTTATTATATAAACTATTTATTTTTCTTAATTAATATTAAATATCAATTATATTAGTAATTTCTTAAGTTAATTTACCAAAATTTCCTATAAATAAAATATTTAACACTACATTTTAAAATTTTTGAAAAAATAAAAAAACATAGCATGCCCTTAAAAATAAAAAATAATTTTTTTTTTTTTTTTAAGAGAATGTTATGTACTAAAAAAAAAAAAGAAAAAAAATAATATATATCTTTTTTTTTAAATGTACTCTAAATTTTTTTTTTTTGTGTACGTATACTTAGTATATTCATTTAGATGTGTATATTTTCTCCATATACTTAGCATGAACAAATGAAAAAATATTTTTACTTTATTTAATTATATATCATTTAAAATATGTCAACAATACTATCTATAAACTATGTAAGCTTAATAATCCCAATTAAAGTGATGAAATACTTACTTATAACTGCTTTTCGTTTGTATATGTCCATATACAAATAAATTTTTTTATAACTTTTTTTTCCTTATATAAAAATAAATAGTATCACTATATTCAATTTTGTATGCCCTAATTATATATTAATAATATAATATAGGAGGAACTTCATCTTCTTTAGATATTGTTAAATATGATTTTTTAATTATATCATAATAATAATATATTATATATTAAATTATATTATGTATACAAAAATTATAATTAAAATTACAAGGCTTATAAGTTAATATTATTATTTATTTAGAATTATTTTGCATTTTACATTTTTTATTTTTATTTCATTGCATCTTATTTTATTTACTTTTTTTTAAATAAAAATTATTAAAAAATATTTAAATAATAAAATATACTTAATTGAAAATAAATACATGAAACACTTTATAATATAAGTAAAAGCTAATATAATAAGAAAAAATGGAATAATGAGAAAAAAAAAAAGTAAATAATAATGAATATATTTTTATAATTCATCAAAAGAAAATTAAGAAAATTTTTTTATAAAAAATAATTAAAAAACATGTTGATTTACATATAAATTGAATCCTTCAAAAAACAATTATGATAATAAAACAATGAAAACAAATTACATAATTATATAAATAGACAAGTAATAATAACTTTATATAATAACATTTTATTATAAAATACGGTTTGTGTCAATTTACATAAAACTAAGCACATATTTTTTCATTTTTTACATTATTATGTACATATGGGCGTTATTTTACATCTCCTTGCTTAATTTTATTAAAAATACATCATAACATATTTTTATATTTTTTCCTAATTTAATTATTTAATAAATCTTATTTAGATTTACTAAAATGAATGTTCATTTATAATTTATCTTTCTATCTATCTATTATTTCTTAAGTATTTGTCAAGAAAGAAAAAGATATG